CTGTCAGACGGGAATAGCTCACAAACAGAACGTAGTCATGCAGCTAAACCAGCAGCTAAACCACAAATAAACAGCTCATTCACTGGCCGTCGTTACATCATCGATTTTAGTCCAAATGTGATCGCAGACAAAGTGAAGTCTATCACATGCAGAGTTCCTGACAATTACAGGAGTAAAGTGAAGCAGACACCAGAAGATTCACACTTTTATCATCATTGTGGGTCGATATTGAAAACAGATTGAGCTCAAAGCTAATCTGTGGATTATAAAGCTTTACCATAATGAAGACGAGGTTACGACATCCTGAAGACGACAGTTGCTTCAGACGTTAAGATAATTACTGGTTGCGTAACGCCGCCGCCGCAGCTATACGCAGACATTTAGGTTGCTGAGTCTTTTATGACGCAGCTACTTTACAGATTAAGTCTTGACTTCGTGGTTTAATCCCAGCTGTTATCTTAAATGTCAACTTCGATATCGGTCACAGAAATATCAGCGTAGACGTTATCTAATCGGTGTCGATGTAAAATCCAGTATCAGTCGGGCTCTGATCACGATGATGTTGCAGATATTTAGACGGCTGGACGCATCTGTATTGTGCTTTAGATGGAAACTGCATCCACATTTGCAAATTCTTCTTTCATGCAAGTGCAGGTTTGTCAAGTTGATGAAATGTTTTGTCCACTTAGTGAGTGAGAGCAATAATACGAACCTCTTACTCTCCGTCTTCCAGCTCCTCCTCTTCACACTGCAACAAAAACAAGCATTAAAACACAGTCTAAAGTCTCGTATCCTCAAAAGGAGTGAAACCACAAACATCCCATCTCGTGGCTTCAGTATATCAGCGTTTTTATGTGTCTGCGTGCTGGAGGAACAAAACACTCACACTCTCATCATCTTCCAGGGCCTCTCCAGTGAAATACTCCACTGCTCTGGGAACTACTTTTTTACGGATGAAACGACCGATCTTAGCGGCCGTGGCTCGGGCGCGCCGAGAGTCTTCAGCCTATAAAACAAGAAGACCATTTTCACACGGCAATAAATCTGACGGATGGAACGGAACGAAAGGCAAGAATGCTGGCGTTAAATGCTGCAAGGAAAAACTTCAGCACCGTTTCTTACCCGTGCACTTAAATAAAACATTTTTCAGATCGGAAATCACAAAGTAACGTCTCTCATATGCAGAGTTCATTGCACGTCTGAGGTGGAAAGTGATGCTGATACCAGAAGATTCCCAGTTGCTCGTTCATATTATATTTAAAAATGAAAACAGAAGGAAAAGGCGTAGGATGCAAACCGACCCTGGGGTCAAAGTCTCCTTCCTCATCATCATCTTCCTCCTCCTCATCTTCCTCCTGAGACACAAACAATTCAGAATATCAGCTTTGTTTTTAATGCTCATGTTTAAAAATGTCTCTGTGCGCATGAGGAAATAAAACACTCACACTCCCATCGTCTTCCAGGGCCTTCTTGAAAACCTGCGCTGCTTTGGGAACTACTTTTTTACGGATGACACGACTGAGCTTAGAGGTCGTGGCTCGACCGCGCTGAGAGTCTTTGTCCTATAAAACAAGAACACGCATTTTCCCACACCGTAAATCTGACAGATGGAACAGAATGAAATGCTGCACGGAATAAAGCACCCGTCACCACTGTTTCTTACCGGTACGCTTAAATAAAACACTTGCAGTGAGTGAATGTAGTCTCGATTTAAACACCCGCTACATGCAAAACCGGCCGTTAACCCGGCTACCATGAGAAGGATGCAACAAACCTTGAATTTGTTGGTGTGTTAAGGCTCCAGTTGTTGCACTGGAGATGGTGTTCGTGTGTATTGTATCTACAAGTGTTTGAAATTGGAGGCACACGTACACAGTTATTTATTAAATGCTCTAAAAATGAGTTTAAAAAAACATAGAATTAGTCAAAACTGATGAAAGCACGTCTCATTTCCAGCCAGAACACATCTACTGGTCAAATAATAAATCACTATAAATGTAAATTTGGTATCATATGAAACCTTCATTCGACGGTTTGGACACCGAGCACGCCTTCGCCATGAACTTAATCTAATCCAGACTTCTGTTTTCTCGCTGTCATCGCTTGTGTTTCCATGAAGACGTGAGCACAAACACACACAGCGAGCGTCCGAGTGTCGCTGGACGAGGTGACAGGATAAGAAAGCACCTGTCTGTCAGCACTCTGCCGGTTGCTAGGACACAGTGTCGTCGTCCTCCTCCAGAAACTTCAGAGCACTCAGCCATTATCTCCCACAATGCACCACAAGGGTCTCTCAGAGGGGCGTGCGTGCTTTCTCTATCTGCAAGACGGGACGCCAGACCTTCTGGTTGGCTTTCTCGAGCTCAGCAAATTCCCCCCCAAACTAGAAACCAGCCGCCTGTCACAATGTCAGCGTGGTGTCAGTGAAGCAGAAAAGGCTCCGGTCATCTGCTCCCTGCTCAGCATGTTGGGACTCGTCAGTCATTTGCAAACGGTCACCTGACGGCTAATAGTGGAGTCGGTGTGTGCAGCTATTCAGCGTCCCGTCACATTGTGCTGTCAACAGCAGCGAGCATTCATCCGAGGAAGCTCCTCAAGTCGCTCCACGGCAATAAGACAAGTCTGCCTGTAGCAGGAGTTGACTGAGAGCCTTGTTAATTCTGTCACCTAGATCAGTAGCTGGATTCCATTTAGCTGCTTCAGTTTAAGAGAAGACTGGAGCTTACTGACGCCTTCGTAAACCTGAACAGTAAAAGCTGGTTACCATTAAAAAAAAAAAATGTCTAGACGTCCATAACAATTGAATCAACATCATAAAAACTTAAATACTTAATTTTCTACCTAAAGATGAATTTGAGATAAATAAGAGAACAGAAAACAAACACATCACCTTGTAGAAGTCAATAACGTAAC